TCTTCATTCTCTTTCAGCAGCAGAACATATTTTCTTTCCATTGTCTTTTTTCTTGGAAGCCGTCCATTGCCAGCATCATAGCCATCAGCTACAAGAGCAAGAAGGCAGCTTCCAACAGGCAGGGCTGGTTCTTAGCCAGTCAGTTGTCATGTTCAGGCAACCTTTTGACAATCCAAAGGGCTTTTCCTTAAGGTTCAAGTAAATCAAAAAGTAGCTCCCCACCACACCAGCTCTTTTCACCATCAAGTAATCAGTAGCCACTGCATACTTAGAACCTCTTCTGTGTCTGGCAGTGGTGGGCCATAAACTGGGAGGTGCCAGAAGAACACAGTTCAGTTGCAGCACGTGTTTGATCTCAATATCTATGTGTGGGTGCCATGACTTAAAAGCCTGAAGCATTTATAATAGCTTGGAAGAGGGGTCAGTGGGAAAGCAACACTGCCCTAGAAAGGAGACATTTGAACCATGCCCTAGAAAGTAGACATTTGAAGGGGCAAGGGTTCCTCAGGACACAAAGACTGTAAGTCTTACTTCTTCACAAGTGAAAATGTCTCTAAGTTGACGAACAGAAGTTGGCTGTGCTCCATCAGGGATGGGAGGGGAAATGTCTCTAAATGACAGCAAGAAAACTTTAAACTGAACTTAAGAAGTTCCTGATGGTTTGGATTGTGACCCAGAAAACATACTGCAGACATGGCCTTTGGAAACTCCTTCTCTGGAGAATTTAAAGCAAAGGGTGGACAGCTGTTCTCGGATGCTTTTGGCATGGTTCCTCTGGGAGGTAGGACCGGCCTGCCCTAAGATCACTTGAGGTGCCACTCCTGCTTCAGGATCATGTAACATTTTATTTCATCTACTGTGGATCAACACAAAAGACCTGTGGTGAACAGTACAGGATGGAAAACTTGGGGCCAGCTGGTTTCTGGGGTTAGAGAGGAGAAGGGGAACCAGTCTTAGTGCAGAGAACATCTTTACTGCCCTCATGCCAAACATACTTCTTTCTGAGTCTTGGGATGGCCTTCCTGGGTTATTGGTGGTCTTTCTATCCTTTTTCTTTCCAAGTAAAATAAAGGCAAGCACAGGAGGCAGCGTGTAGAGTGATATTAATAGTAATAATAACTTTCCTGAGCTCCTACTGTGTCCTTGTTACTGTGCAAAGCACTTCACCTAGCTCATGCCATTTACCCTTCCCACAGCTCGATGCAGTAACACTGTCTTTGCATCCATTTTACAGATGGAAAGGTTGAGGCTTTAAAAGGCTAGTGAGTTAGGCCGGGAGTCCATCCCAGATGAGAAGCCATGCTCTGGCAGGTTTACTCAGTCCAATCAGGGTTCAGATCCTACATCACTTCAATTCTCCAAGCCCCAGTTTCTTTTTGGTGAAAATGGAGAAAATGGTATTTATTTTGCAAGACTAGATTTCACAGGGAAGGTGACATTAGGTGAGGTAGGTAAAGCCTGTATGCCAACTCTCAGGAGCAGCAGGTGTTCAGCGAGTTATTTTCTTTCCCCCTGCTCTTCCTCTCCCTTCTGTGGGCTTCTCCTGGTCTGAGTCAATTCTTTCATGATGTCCCTGGTTCTAATCAGGCCTCTCTCAGTGACAGGGGCTTTGCAGGCTCAGCGTCTCTCTGACTGATGTCTACTGCTAATTCCTTAAATTTACATATCATCTTTCTTCCCTGGAGCTCATAGCACTTAACAGACAAGTGGGGCACAAATGATTTAACGAAGTGAAATCCAGAGGCCTGCTCGTCTGGAGATTCTGCAAACTAGTGGATTAGCTCAGATGTCAGCACTGAATTATGATCCTTCAGCTGCTCGTGCTAAGCATGCCACTAGCATTAACTCCCTGGTCTTGCAATGGTCCCTTAAATCATGCATAGAGATTGTCATTTTATTGTGAGAGGGAGAAAGGAGAGGAGAAGGAAGAGGAGGGCAGGGGGGCTACCTGGGGGTTACTGGAAGGGGCAGACCATGAAACCTTTGACCTGGCTGTGCCTGGAATTTTACTAACAGGGTGGATGCATAGAACAGACCCAAATACAGTCCATTCAGCACAGTTCTTCCCGCCTCCACACACATTTTCCTCACCAAATTCTAACCATGATGCCATGATTTCCCTGTCATTTAAGAATGTAAATTCACACAAGTGGCAGTATTTCTGCCAAGCAATTTTCAGGCAGCAAGTGGGTCTTATTTGCGAAACTGTGAAGGAAGAAGGCTGAATAATAAATCTCTAAAATCTGGTTTCCTTTATATGTAAGGTGGCAACAGTAAGGGCTTGGAGATTAGCGGGAGCTTGGGAGCATTTGAGGGGTTCTCGCTGGTGTCTCAATACACTGGGTGCTTCCACAAGCCACCTTGTCATTACTGGTGCACCTCACCTTTGAAAGGGGCTGTTGGCCTGGGAGGGTGGAGGGAATTGTGAAGGGATTATATCTGAGGGATTATGAGAAGCTAGCTGATTCTCCCATCCTTATTTGCAATGGATAGCCTCATATCATTCTTTAACCATGTATTTGTCATTCTTCATTCATTCATTCATAGAAACAAAATTTTCTTGAGGAGTGGCATATATATAGCACTATCTAGGGGTAGAGAGAAGCAGCAATATTAAACCTGATTTACAATAGGTTACAATAGGTAAGACCAGGATTTACAATATAACTGGGGTGATAAACAAAGACACACCGAAAAAACAGCTAAATTATGATGCCAGGCAGTGAGTGATTACCTACTGAAATCCATGGAAAATGGCCTGAAGTTCTTTTAAAAACAAGGTAAAGTCAGCAGTACAGTCAGTAAATGCTAGAGTTGTTGAGAAAAGAAGGGGATTAATGTTGTGTGTGCCAGAATAGTTAGGAGAAGAGCTAGCAAAAGACACAGGATAGGCGGAGTGGTTGGGGGAGTGGAAAATTACAGCTAAGAGGAGCGGATGCAGCAACGGGCCCAGTAGGAAAGCCAGTTTGCCTCAAACAGAGTGTGATTGATTGCAAGGACTTGGGGCAAGCTACCTGCAGAGCAGCTGAAATAAAGAACTTATTGCATGAAGCTGGAAAACCTGCAGTCAGGTCTGGGCTCTGTCATTGAAGTCGCCTCCCTACCTTGGAAAAATCACATTAACCTTTCTGAGCCTGATTCTTCATCATGTGCAAGGTAAGGTTAGTAAGTCCCAGCTCACAAGAATATAGAAAGGATGAAATGAAATACTGCTTGTAAATGTGCTTGTAACAGGTAAAGCATTATGCAAGAATGAGCTTTAATTATTATCATTAACAGCAGCAGTAATAAGATCTGATAGGGAAAGCATAGGTTTAGAAGATCTTTGAAGGTCTGATTTGGCATTAGTGTATCCTCCCTCAGCAGACACCAACATTAATTCTCTTCTGTAGACAGCTGCCTTTTAGTTATCTGTGCTGATTTTGGCCTTGCAGATGTCACACCTTATGGGGTATGTAGACAGACATAGCTTTGGATGGTTGAGGAAGCACAAACTGGGTTCCCACATATGCATAGTAAACTAGTCTCATTTGACTTCAGGGGAGCATAGCTTCTAAAGCACTAATCCCAGAAAGTCTAACAGGAAGGGGCTTAGGGGATCAGGGAGGCAGGCAAGGCAGCTGGGGAGCCAAGGAGGAAGGAACTGTTTCTGGGCCACTGATGGGAGGTCCAGCACAGGCTGCTCTCACCTAGAAAGGTGATGTCAGCAGGATTAACAACAGCAAAGCAGCGGTCCAGGGACTATTGCATTGATTCAAGACTCGAATCCTTGCCCATCTACCCTGACAAGTCCAGGATGTTCATAGTCCCCGTGGAGTAAGAAAGCTCTGTGCACCTGTCTCAAGTTAACATGACCTCACACTAATGTGATCCTAAGGCATCTGACATGCCCACATTCCATGCTGTGTATGTGGTAGAAAAGTGACCCTGCCATCTTGCAGAAGTATTCAGCATAAGATGCCCCTATGTTTCAGGGCCAAAAAGAGGTACTGAGATTTCCTCACCAAATGCCACCTTGTTCTCTGTACAAGTGGCCAGAACAGTCCTGTACAAGTTGGATTTGAAGGTGCAGGTCCCCACACCTGTGTCTGCAAGGCATGTGGTCTGCCAACAGCAAGAAGAACTCGGTCTTCCACATGAGTATCTGATGAATTTGAAACCAATCAGCCAAAAAGATCATTTTCCAAACATTTGGATTGGTAAACCCTTAATTTCCTAAAACACATATATTCTCTGCTAAATACATAGCCTTTGTTAATAATAATGACAGCACCTTTATCATTGAAGCCATATGTGCCTGGCTGTCTGAGAAAGGCCAGGTTCAAGTCTGCCTGAATCACCCCTTTCAGCTCCCACCCTCTGTTCTGCTTGAAGGTGACACTGGGCTTCTGAGTCACAGTCACTAGAGCCCAGGCATCATCTAGCAGCACTGATGGAGACAGAAGGTTTTAAATGTCTGCCATTTGGACAGCGCCCAGCCAAGATGGCCAGGGCTAGAAGCATCAACCACCTGGTCATAGTCACCCTCCAACCTAGCAGCCACCTCACCCCCTATAATCTGTCCCCTTGTAATGCAGTTCATCAGATTGCACTAGCCCTTTGGGTGAGCTAGTGGTGAATAAGATGTGGATCTGACCTCTTGGAATCTAGAGGGAGAAGAAGGGCACACACATACCACCAACCAACCAACCAAGACGTAAGGTGACCTTGCCAGGTGCTCCATGTGAAAGAGATGGAAAGGAAATGATACTGAGAAATAGGCAGGAGGGACCGATTTAACTTAGAGGCTCAAGAAAGGGCTTCAAGAAGACACAGCATTTGAATCAAGGCTCTAAAGAAGCCTTAAGAAAGGGACACAGAGCCTCGGGAACAAGGACATGAATAAACCAAAAGACACTGAAACTCCAGTCCCAACTAGCCCCTGGAGAGAGCACAGCAGCACACTGGTGTCTTTCCCAAGTGTTTATCGAGAACCTCTGTTTGGGTTTGTTTTACCCCAGATGACAGGAATTTCTTGCGGCTGCAGAGTGACAGCCAGAGAGAGGGCCAGTATGCGCGGCTCATCAGCCCCCCAGTCCACCTGCCCCAGAGCCCGGTGTGCATGGAGTTCCAGTACCAGGCCACGGGCGGCCGCGGGGTGGCGCTGCAGGTGGTGCGGGAAGCCAGCCAGGAGAGCAAGCTGCTGTGGGTCATCCGCGAGGACCAGGGCGGCGAGTGGAAGCACGGGAGGATCATCCTGCCCAGCTACGACATGGAGTACCAGGTGGGGTGAGCCAGAGGGGAATCTTGTGATCCGTATTTCAGTATTTCAAAGGGCCGAGCCCATTCATCATTAGGGAACGTGGTTAAGCGCTACTGTTTTCATTGTGTTTCTCGCGTTGCCATGGCAACTGAATGACACTCTTATTTGTTATTCAGAATATGCCTATCTCTACACCCAGACTTGGTTCTTTGTTCCTCCTGTTGCCTTTTATATTGCTGAAATCTTCAACAAATGTTTCTCCTCTCCATTTTATTTTAGATTGCTATCAGGTAGGCTGACAAAGGGACACAGAAGCCAGGGAAACAAACACAAACCCTCCACACACAAGGAAAGAGGCCTGTGGAGCCCCTTCAGATCTGGGGAGGAAACAGGATAATCTCCCAGACCTGTCCCAGGGAGCGTGAACACAGGAAGGGGAGCGGGTGCTGTTCGTGCTCAGTGGCCGGCAGACGTGAGAGGCTCCCAAATGAGTGCTCTCTCTCTCTCTCTCTCACCAGCTCCAGGGATGGAGTTCTGTTATCTCTGCCCCACAGAGCAGGAGACTGAGGCACAGATGGGTACATTCAGCTGTGGCTGCAACTTGGGTAGGAGTAGACACACTGTGGAAGAGGTGACTGAGAACCAGCCAAAGCATTAACCTTCTCCTTCCCAGACGAGGAGCAGCAACAGATGGCTGGTGAGGCAGCCAACTGCTCACCCAGCTTGCCAGAGGACATGTGCTAGTTAGCAGAGAGGAACCCGGGGAGGGTGAGCATGAGGAATGACTGAAGACCACAGAGCTGAGGGGCTTCTGTGCAAAGCCTGCAGTCCCTGTCTCTTGAGGCAGCAAGGCGTCCTGAGACCCTCCAATCTGGGTTCCCACTTACTCACCTGAGTGCATTGTATTGTAACTACCTGTTTGCATTTGTGTCTCAACCAGTAGATGGATGAGCTTCTCTGGACAGAGAACTTGTCTTAACAGGTTTTGTTACTATCCTTGTGTCCAGCGCATGGTAGGTGCTCAGTAAACAGCTGGTGAAAAAACAAATTATTTTCCTACTAGTTGTAATAATGAAGCTGTAAGGCAACTTAGAATAGGGAGCATAAATCCAAGCCTATGTGCTGTATTTCTCACATTACCCCCACTTATTTGTGTCTTCTGAGTTTCCAATACCTGCATTGGGCATTTGAAAGATTTATGAGACAGGAACCTCGAAAATAGCAAAGGAAATTTCAACCCCTCTTTCAATATTCTCTGACTATGGTCCTTTTAATCAATACATTCTAGTTACTGGACAACAATATCAACCCGCTTGTTATATTTTCTTATTCCCTCAAATATGCATTTGATTTGAACAAACTCATTTTAAATTAAGATTTCAAGAGCTGTAGCCATGTGGTCAACAGATGTGTACCAGGTGCAATACACACACACACACATACACACTTTAAGCTGCAGCTAACAGAAAATTGGAAATCTTTGCACTGTTTGGACTAGGAGACTCAGTTAACCATGGCTCTTATTCTTCCGGCTTCTAGATTGTGTTCGAGGGAGTGATAGGGAAAGGACGATCAGGAGAGATTGCCATTGATGACATTCGGATAAGCACTGATGTCCCACTGGAGAGCTGCATGGGTACGTGAATATCTGTGTCTTCGTGGCTCTTTCAAATAAGACGCCAAGGGCTGGGATAAGCAAAAGGAGGCAGCACACTATCTTCAAATGCGGTCATTACTGAGTGGGTGGGGCAGCAACAGTCTATGCAGGAGGTAAGGTGTGGGTATAGTTGTGTCTTGGGCTGGGTTCAGGGTGGGAGGGGTGTGAGATGAGGGGAAGGCTTATATCCCTATTCCCAATCAGAAATGGACATGCACTAAGTACATGGAGGTTCAGGGTGCCAAGACCCCATCAGCAAACCCCAGCTTTTAGCAAAGAAAATGCTAGAGGACGAGAGCAACTGCCAGTCAAAATTATATGCTGGAAAGATTTGATGGATTTAATGGAAGCCTTCACTGGTGGGCAAAAATGGTGCATATGTTATATAAGAGTGATAACACAATTATCCAAGTAGTTCTTTTACATGAATGAATTGCAGAGCAAACTGTGGCATTTGAAGGTTTCAGATTTTTCTTTAAAACGAGTAGCTCTAATGCCCAGGATCCCAAAGTTGTTGTAGGATAGACGTTGTAGGTATAGTCCAGGTGACAGTCACGAGAAGGATGTCATAACTGTCATCTTGGTCAAAAGTACCTGAACAGCCAGCCCACCTGAGATGCACCCATTTTCTTCAGGGTCTCCTGCTTCAGAGGAGGTCACCTGAAGTGCACGCTGACTGTGTCCCTTCAGGGCCATGGACATTCCCCTAACCAAGAGGGGAACCCTGAGAAGGAATGGGGACTGCTTTCAGTCAGCAGAGTGGCTGCAGTAACTCACCAACTGCTTTTCTTGGCACACGAGTCTGGGTGTGTGTGTGCTTGATGATGTCAGAAGCACCTGGGACCACCCCAGTCCCTTTGGGCAACTCTCAGGCCCCCGGCATCTAAAAGTAAGCCAGCCTCTGAGAAAGTAATCAGCAGTAAGTGACTGATTACAATGCTTTAGGGACCCATTTCTCTATGAAGGACTTTTTGTTCCAAAGCAACTTTGAGAATCCCCTCCCCACCACCACCCCATGATGATGATGTGTTAGACCCAGCCTAGGACACGTGGAAGATGTGGGCACTTTCCATGGAGAGGTACAAAAAAACTCAGTGCAGTCATCCCCGTCATCATATGCAACCAATTATTCAACCTGTGTTCACCTATTTATTCCCTTTAACTAAGTCCAATTTTTTGTCTATTTTTTTCAGAGCCCATCTCAGCTTTTGCAGGTGAGAATTTTAAAGGTAAAAGAAAATATTTTTTTGCATGCCTTTTCCTTCCCCCATGTGATGTGAATTTGGTGGGGGAAATCAACCTCTAAATTTGTCAAATCTTCAGAGAAAAGAGACGCCACACCTTCCTGCCACTAGATGGCACTAGCAACAGCTGTAGCTGTGGGGAAGGGGATTAAGATCCTCACTGCCTCTTGTTTAATTAAAGTTTAGAAACCTATTAATAGAGACAAATAGGTTACAGATGGACCTTTCAGCCTTGCATTGTCCAACGTGGAGCAATGAGGCTGAAAATGCAGGAGTGGTGAGGAAGGAGGAACTGTGGGAATACTGAACCCAAAAAAATCAGTATAAATTCAAAGTGAACTGAGGTGACAGTGATTTGTTTTAGCCTGAAGATGGCTTCTTTCCAGTTCCAAGGTACTAAGGCAGCAGTCTCAGTTAACCCTCAGTGAGGGACAGTGGCAGGCAGCTTGTGAGGGAAGGAACTTAGGGAAGAGACACAGGAGTGGTGGCCTGAGGAGGAAGAGTTGCCAGATTTAGGACCGGGTATCCAGTCAAGGGAATAAGGAGGTACATTCCATGACTGGGGCTAGAGGACTTTAAATGCAGTACTGGAAATCAGAAAGGATGTCTTCTCCCCAAGAAAGCAAAGAGAGAGCAGAGCAAAGTAAGAAGAATTGGGGATGCTTGCCTCACCCAGCTTTAAAAAAAAAAAAAGGCCTCCATCCAACCTTGGGTGATGGCAATGTCATTTGAGCTTTATAATGCAGCCGGTTGTACATTTTGCCCTCTTTGCAATCCTATTAGCTGACACTGCTGAAGTTTCCATACTGGTTTCTAATGCCAAACATTTAGGAGTCCCTCTAAATACTTCACTGCGGTTGGCCTGAGTGTAAAAGCAAACACGGAAACACTCATCCTCACCAAGTGATGGGGGCTCTTCATGACCTGTTTGATGCCAGCAATTGTGAGGATGGCTGTGCCCTGTTTTAACTGGCTGGGCTTAACCCTACAAGTGGCAGCATTGCAGAGATAAGGGCAGACATTTTTATATCTGACGTCTAGACTCGTTATCTTCACTCTCATTAATCTGTCCAGCTCCGGGCTAGAGAGAGATGAATTCCTGGTTTGCCACCTAGATGTGCTCCCTGACTCCAAATCATCCCACCCAATTTGCCACTCATCAGCTCTAAGACAGCCAGTGAGGAACAAAGCTGCAGACGCCAGGGGAATGGCAAACCGACCTAGAGGACATTTCCTTTCTTGCCCTTCCTTGAGTCCCTGAACCCCTTGCCCACTCCCTGCCCCACAATTCTAAAAGTATTAAGAGTATTCATGTACATACACTGCTGCTATCTGGGGGTGAGATTTACGTTCATGTAAATCCAAAGTATTGGAAAGAAAGCTGAGAGCCAAACCGAACGACTTGGATTACAGTTGAATTAGAGTTCTAACCTTCGGGACCCAAGGTAATGCTTACGTTGATGAAGTGAAATCTGTGGACGTTGTTTCACCTGACTGTCTTTGGGTTGTGGCGACTCACAGTTTCCAGAAAGGCTGGGTAAAGACGTGCCAGCAGCTGCTGCAGACTGTGCTGTGTGCACATCATGTCGGGTTGTGATTGACAAGTACACTGGCTAAGTGCTTCACTTTTGTAAGAGAATAACCAGACCAGGGCACGTGCGCTCTCCTTGAAGCTGTGCTCACCATGAGGCTTCACAGGCCCGTCATGCTCTCTCGTAAAAAATACATACATAAAATCTCATCTGAGCGGCAGTGCTCATTTAGCCAAAATAAACACAGAGCTTAGTGACTTGAAGGTAAGAATTTCCAGGGTGCTCCTGGTGGGCTGCTTTGAGGCTAAGCAAAGGCAGTGCACGAGTTGCACGGATTGGGCCATGGCTTTCGTCTTGGAGGATGGCAGGCATCTTTGGGAAGAAGAACCCAAGTCCCGAGGAGCAGAGGCGTGGCCGATGGACATAGTAAAGAGCAGAATCAGAATTGGGAATGGAGAATTTCATTCACCTCGGCACATTTTACATAGAGATCTGAATTGGTAGCCAGATGAACCTAGTGCCATGAGTCTCCCCTTTCTGGTTGAGACCCGTTTGACCCCAGCATGCAACTCTGTGCCTTGAGCAAACTTTTCTGTTTGAGAGAGGAGAGAGGACTGTGTGTTCCCTCTAACCCAGTGACTCATATACTGTTCTTCTTATGGTCAGGACAGCAAGAGTCATCTCTTGGTCAGGGCATAAAAGCAGTCTTTTAACTCAAAAACAATGGAAACGGAGAAATCTGGTTTGGGCAGGCAAGGCATGGAAAGCTGATGTTGAAACGCTACCAACCATAGACATTTACATTGTTAGTACGTTTTTTAAATTGGAGCGTTTATCTTTTCCCTTATAAATGAATCATGCAACAGGAAGTAATCTCATTCTTTAGGATCAAACAATGCATGGATAAATCTTTAGGGAAATACAATGAAAGTGGCCTTTGGACCTGTAGTTATTAGCTCGTCTTGATCTTTTGTATTTTGAAGTATCTTTCATTTTACATCTCTTACCGATTTCTTGCCATACAATATTTTTTTTTAATTCAGATCATCCTGTGATTTCTGCTTAGTGTATATAAACATACATTGTGTAGCAGGGTGTGAGTCAGTAATGAAGAAAAGCCTGGGAGGAAAAGAGGGCTGTGTTGAGAAGGGAGAAAGAGAAGAGAGAATGAATAAACTGTGTTGTCATGTGATTTTTTTTAAAAAGACCCTTTTTTGTGGTTGTTATGAGTCACATCTTAAACAATGTAGCCTGGGTATGCATTCTTCTCCTTTCTTTTCTTTTTTAAAGCAGTGGCTATAAACATGGTGCCGTCATGTATCTTTTCTAGGATTTGAGCTTTAGCAAACGAAAAACCGTGTGTATACAGGGGGAAAAAGAACCAAAACGTGGTGCAATTAAGGTGATGGATTATTTCCTCTCACCCAATACTTTCTTTTTTCAATAAAAGAAAAAAGAATAAAGAAGCCAGTTAAAAATATATAAAGCCCATAATCAGAGTTCTGGGGTTGTTGACCAGGTGGTTATTTTTAACAGCTCACCTTGGAGGCAAGAGCTTTTGTTTGTGTTAGCTGGGCTGTGGGCTTTGAGCGAAGCAGGGGCAGAGAGCCTGTCTGGTGCCCTACTTGTTAGAGACTCACGGAAATCCCAGCAGGGTGCACCTGTGGAAGGTGGTTGTCAGAGGGAAGGATTCGGAATGGCTGTCTTACGCTAGTGGATGCTAACAGGGACATCGGTGTCTCCTGTTTCGGCTGGGAATGTGGGGTTTATGACTCAGACCATTCCTGAGGTCCAGGGGCCCCATTTCTTGGGTTTCCCCAGGTGCCTTTCTGCAGTCCTCCACAGTTCTCATCCAGACAAAACCAGGAGACAGTGCATATCCACAGCTGTCTCTTGGGCATAGAGGGGAGCAGTATGAAGAGAGGCCCATTTCGAGGTCATGCTGATTGGCATTCGACTCCGTTCCTCCAGCTTTACATTCCGTTTCTTTGGGGCCAAGTGAGCAATCTCTGCATCTTGCACCCCCATCTCTCCTTTCCCATTCCCACCCTCACCCTCCATTGCCTGCCTTCCAAGGCTTTGTCCGGCAGGATAATGTCCCCTATCCCAGGGCCTGGCCTCAGATTTCCTTTCTCCTCGGACTCCCTTCCTCCCACACCTCCTTCTCCTGGAAGCCCTTCTGAGACGCAGAGAGGGTTAAATGGTGCTTTTGCACATGATCCTCTGATGCAAGGCAGAGAAGTATTCCTCACCCCGTCAGGGTTCCAGATAGGCAGCTGTAGTGTGTGAATACTCCTCCTTGCCCCACCCGCTTATGTCTCCAGCTGCCAGATGAAGGCTAGGTGTTGCTGAGCGAGAAAGCATGGAGATCAGATGTGTGAAGCGGGTAACTGCTTGGCTGCCATCCTTTCCTGGAGGACACGGGTGTGTTCTTTGTGTGGTTCGCTGGAGCACGCCGCCTCTCTTGCCATGGAGACCTGACACGTCCCCCCTCCCTCAGTTTACCACTCATTTAAACAACTGCCGAGGTCAGCTTATCTAGGGGTGGAAGAAAATGTTTTTCACCAACTTTTCTCTCCAAGAACACAAGGGACAAGACTTAGTTTACCGAAAGTAGCATAAGCACACCAAAGAGTATGAAGCGTCCGAGACTTCAGCCAGTCAGAAATCTGAATTCAGAGGCATTTAAAAATGCCTCTAGATGTGGGAGAAATCCACATGGTTTCTGCCGACTTACTGAAAACATTCCGGTGCCTCCTGCCACACCATGCTCAGAAGGCAGATGGAAAGAGTCGTTTCTCAGCGAGGCCTCTGTGCTTGCGCCTCTTTTTTCCAAACACATCAGAGGGCGTGAGCACATTCTTCTACTATCTTCTGTAAACTTCTCTAGAGGAGCCAACCTTTTTTTGTTTGTTTAATCTCACAAATTAAATAAACCTTTTATCTGAAATGTTCCTTCACCAGCACTTCATTTTTAACCTGTACAGAAAGGACTGTGCGGACGGGCCAGTCCTGAAACAATTCTGGCAAGCAATGAGCCTTTTTTTTGAAAGAAAGAGAGAAGGCTCACCCTTGGTGTCTTTCAAAACACTTCTTTTGGAAACCCAGGTGCCTCCTCCAGGTCCAGACAACATTTCATAAATGCAGCTATAGTAGATGCTTTCTCATTTCAGTGACTCGGTGAGAAACTGACTTGACTGAGACACACCAATCCTTAGACAGGTTCAGACAAAAATAGAGGGCAGAAAGGAAGAGGACTGCTTCCTCTTCCCTCCCTCCTTGGTTAGAGCAAGGAATCTGCAAACTTGTTCTGTAAAAGGCCATGTAGTAAGTACCTTGGGTTTTACCGGACATGCAGTCTCCGCTGCAAGGACTCAGCTCTGCCAATGCGGCATAAAAGCATCCATAAGCAATACGTAAACAAATGAGGGCAGCTGTGTTCCAACAAAACTTGATTTATGCAAGCAGGCAGTGGGCTGGATGTGGCCCACAGGCCAGAGTGAGCTGATCCCTGGGTTCGAGCACAGGCTGGGGTTTCGTCCACCGGGTTCCAGCCGTGACTCTGCCACTTGCTGGCAGTGTACAGCTCCTCAGAGGACCCTGGGCCATCTCTTGAGTTTCTCTGAGTGCTGCTCTGCTCTTCTCCACAGTTATCCTCCAGGTGAAACCAGGAGAAAATCACTTGTCCTCTGAAGCCCTCAGGTCTCCCATCAGAGGGTCACAGGAATAAACAAAATGATTCATGTGAAGCCCGTAGACCAATGGTCGACACATAGGAAATGTCCACTCACAGTTGCTGTTCTTACATACACGTTTCCCAATTGCATATTAATTCAGTAACCCTATTTGCAGCTAGGAATGGCAGGAACACCACCTCGTGTGTAATTGTTTGTCTTATTTTCTCCCATGAGTGGTTTCTCAAACTCTGTTGTTTCTCAAAATTCAAATTCTTGGTGTTTGCAATGCTTTTCTCTAGGGGGTTCAGAACTTTTACAGATGGGAGCCTGTGCAATCTTGCAAATATACTTGGAGTTGAGTTATTGACTATTTAAATATCTGTTTCTCATTATCTCACACAATGGGAAAACTTTGTAGAGAATTTGGGGTGGGAATTAATGAAAAATAGTTCAGGAGTTGAAAGCATTTTTCAGTTGAAAAAAGACACGTGAGTAAGCGGCAGAAATTAGATCAGTCAAAGGGAAAATTCAGGTCAGCAGATAACCAACTCCAGGCAAGGCTGAGTTCTCACCTACACTTTCACCCACCTATCCCAGGCTCCTTTAATGTCAAGCAATGGCTGGATCACCCCAGATGGCTCAAGGGGCAAGGGAAGCTAAATTTGCACAGCTCAGCAATTTGGGCATCTGGTGCAGGTGACACCTGCCTAAAGTGGGTGCCTCTTTCTAATTTCCCATAGAGGTGCCATATGGGCTAGCAGAATCTCTAGCACTTTCTGAAAATAACTTTCTAAGGAAGGACCAGTAGGTCATCAACATTTTCCAGGGAGTCTGAACATTGATCCAAATATATTCCTCTATCCCATCCGTCCATTTATCCATCCACCTATCCATTCATCTGTCCATCTGGCATTCACTGAATTGCTGCTGTTGCCTGGGAAGGTGCTTTGGGTAGGGATTTAACCCCTATTGATTGATCATTTTCCTTCTCTCTAGTTGGCAAACCACAGCCTCATTAGCATACAGCTCTCGGAGGCTAGAAAAGAGCCAGATTCTAAACCAGCACACTCCACCTGCCTTTGGAGATGAGTCTCTTTAGTTGGGGGCTAGGAGAAACTCCTAGCCCCCAACTGCAATCAACCAAGAATTGCTTGTAGGAGATCAGGAAAGGGTTGCTAGTTGTATCCTCTCTTTTCTAACACTATTTCTAACCTCTTGACATTAAAAGTGTGAATTCACGCAGTAATGTTTTTCATTTCTCCAAAGAAATGCCCAAAGAAGCTGTTTAAGGAGCCAGTAATAATGTCCTCCAAATAGCTCTGTCACTAAAGTTTTCTACATGTTGATAATGTCAGGGGAGAGAAGCACAGGTAGAAAAGGGGAAGAGGGTCTTACCTAAGGCGAAGTTTGTCTTTCAGAGTAGAGCAGGATTCTGAGGGCCTATGTCTGTGTCTCTGATTCTAAATATGTAATCCACGTATTAGGATTTCACCTTCCTCCAGCAGGCCCCCTAGAGTCTCTCCACTGTGCCCCAACGCTGTCTCTGTCGTGAGAAACACTGTAAGACGAGCAGTAAGGCTTTATCCTTCTCCAGCCCGAGCACTTTAAGCGTGGTTGGTGTATTTTGTGTTGGAAACCAGCATTTTGGCTGAAGGAAAGCAAACCTTTAAATGGAGACGGTGTAGTGATGGAGGGAACGTGGGTAGTTGTGGCCATATTCCGCTTGACAAAAATTTGTGTCCCACCTTTGTGGTCTGGTCAGGTACTTCAGAGGGAAAGCTAATCCCTGGGGATTTATCACCTTCCTTTTCTCGATGGGTGAGCTGCAGCCTCATTAGAGGACGGCCCTCCCTATGGAGCCACCTGAAAATCAGAGGCAAACTCGAGCACACCCTTTGGGGAGAGGAGGGATGTCTCTGAGAAACTCCGGGCACATCCCCAAACACTTTGCTGTTTCCTGTCCATTTCTGTGAGCTCACATTGAAAATCCAACAGCAGGATGGTTGCCAGGCAGCAGATCCTCTTGGTGACCTGAATAATGAGTTGACACCAGTTCACTGTGACTTGCAAGCTGGCCATTTCAAGGAGCCATTTCCAATGCCTTGCCTTCTCTTCCTTTCTGATTGTATGTATAATTTCCACCATGGCCACAAATATATGAGAGAGAGAGAGAGGCCTTTCTCAGCTATAGTAATGAAATTAGTAAAAGACAGAAGTCGTTTAGGGATAAAGACAAAGAGTGTAGGTAATAAGGTGGAAGAAGATGAAGATGTAGAAAGAAGCACTAAGGGGTTCCTGGGATTCTGGGGTCCTTTCTACCCCAGGGGATGTGGATGTGGCTGTCAAGATGTGTGCAGAGCAACACATCCCTGTCAAAGCTCTGCCAATGTTGTGGGACCTCTGGTCACCCAAAAGGTACCAATGAACCCCACCCTGGTGGAGGGGAATTCCTACAGCAGGAGAAAGCAGTGATTAAGAGCTAGGAAGTTCAGCAGGCTTTGAAATATTTCCAAGAAAAGTGTTCTCATTTTTCTATCATCACCTGTAGAAGACATTAGAAGGTCTGACTCACCTCTCACCTATTCCCCAAATCAAAGAGAGGAGTTCTGATGCTCAGGCTGCAGACATTAGAGAACACCGACTCAGAAATAGGAGTCTTAGCCTCAGTTCAGTGTTTGATTCACCAGGCATTTATTGAGTGCCTTCTTTGTGTAAACCCTTAGGTATGGATGAGGGCAAGTTCCTCATGATGAGAGTGAGTTCCTCTGCTTAAGGAGCTCTGAATCTCAGGGTGGGTAGTGGAAGGAGGCTTGAAAATATAAATGAGCCCCATCTGCATCTTGAACAGAGGGGGACCACCCTCTGCTCACAGAGTAGAGTAGGACCACCAATGCATGAAGGAGGCAGCAGCACTTCCCACCCCTGGCTCTCCTCCTGGGGCACTGCATGAGTAGAGGATGCATCTTTCTGGCTTAATGCAAGCAGCTAGGGAGGCATTTTTCATAGGAGAAGCATGCATCATTTTTCAGAAGTAAAGATCATGTCTGGTTTTGGCAAGCTCAAAAGCTCCTAGTCCCTTTCTGGGCCAGATTCTCATCTGATGTAAATCTTTGGGAGAATCAAGTTGTAACACTGCTTTGCATCAAGTGGGACTCCAGCCAGTCTTTCCCCAGAGTTACCCTGGGCTTAAATCTACTACATCATCTCCATGGCAACCAGCGGCGGCCAGTGAACGTGGTTGCCTTCTAAATACTCTGCCAGCCTCTCTTCCCTGCCCTGCCTTTTCCGTGATTAAGAATGATCTCCCTCTCTCTCCCTCACTCTCTCACTTACTCTCGCTCTCACATACCCTGTGTCATTTTGTGCCCACGTTTTTTGTTGCAACTTCCCTTGTCATCTGCTTTTAAAAATCCTCCATCCAATTAAAAAAAACGAGGATGAGTTAGTCATGACTTCACAGTGGTGACCGACCTGTTTAGGCAAGACGAGGCTAATTTCAATGGGTGCAGAAGCATTGGCAAGTAACGTGGAATTTACTTTCAAGTCTAGCCAGCCTAATTAATACGTTGTTGCTGAGAATGCCGGCCAGCCAGACCGAATATGGTGTTTCCACCATTCGGGAAATCTGCCTCACTGAATCCCAGAAGTCATGTCAGCATCATTTACTTGTATGTATTTGTGTATGTGTATGTGTGTGTATGAGAGAGAGAGGGAGATGGAGGAAGAGAGAACTATGACGTTTCCATATATTATAAAGTAATTGTGGTCAAACAATAAGAAAAGAGTTGTAATCATACCGTTCTTGGTTGAATCCCATACTTCCTATTTAGCTGTATAACCCCTTAATTTAACCTCTCTCTGCCTCTGTTTCCTCATCTGAAAAATGGGTCTGACAGTAGCTACCTCTCAAGGGGTTACGTAGGAAATAATGCAATCGTTGAGAAGTGCTTGGCAGGTTCTAAGGACTACCTTAGTCCCTCATCCCCTTCCCTGTCCGTCCCAAAGCATGTGTGTGTGTCTTTCTTTTTTTTTTTTTTTTTTTTTTAGTCTTTTGATTAGTCTGCATGCTCTCCGCCTAGCAACACTCTTCTGTGTCTCTCCACCAGGGGGCACCCTCCTGCCAGGGACCGAGCCCACAGTGGACACGGTGCCCGTGCAGCCCATCCCAGCCTACTGGTATTACGTAATGGCCGCCGGGGGCGCCGTGCTGGTGCTGGTCTCCGTCGCGCTTGCCCTGGTGCTCCACTACCACCGGTTCCGCTATGCGGCCAAGAAGACCGATCACTCCATCACCTACAAATCCTCCCACTACACCAACGGGGCCCCTCTCGCGGTGGAGCCCACCCTAACCATTAAGCTAGAGCAAGACCGTGGTGGCTCGCCCTGCTGAGGGCCGAAGCAAGAACAGCACCCAAAACAAACAAGAAAGACTGCAAACACGTTGCCTCGATTTTGCACTTTTTTCTCCTCGCCTAGTCTCTGTGTGAACTCTCAGACATCTCTCGCGCGTCCCCAACCCTGAGCACTCTTATCAATCCCAACCATCCTCCTTGGGTTCATTTTGGTTTCTGGTTTTTCCTTTTTGTTGATTCCAAACCAACAAACCCAACTCTAATGCTGCATCTTGGAATATCAGAAGAGATCCACTCCCAAGCACTCCACAACTCAAGGCTCAGCTGGTTTTGTTCCAGAGACTGGTTCACTTGTTTTTTCCCCTTGCCTTATCCCATACCTCCTCTCTGTGGGCAGCCTGCCAGGAGACTTGAGGGGAAGCCTGGATCTGTGTGTATGTACATAGTAGACATGTGCGCGTGTGAATAGTTCTCTGTGGGTGTGGGGATGTGTGTGGGGGGCTGGTTGATTGTGTGTTGGGGGTGGTGAGTGTTCAGAGAGGGCCCCTTTAACTCTTGTGTTACTTCTCCTGCGGTACATTTTACAAGAAAATAATATGCTGTATAAGTTTTGTTTACTTGGAGAAGAGATTGAAGCTTTTTGTTGCCTTATCTAGCCCTGGCTGGGTTTCTGTTGGCTGCCACTGTCATCTCCAGGTACCTAAAGAAATAGAGGCCACATGGGATGCCATGTGGCCTGTCTCATCCCTACTCCCCAACCCCAACCCACCTGACCCAAGAGGAAGGTTCCCCTAGCACACTCAGACAAGGCTTCCTTGTCTTCTTGTGTCTTTGAATTGTCAAGATAGCAGCCACGGGCGCGTGCGGAACCACCTCTCCAGCCCTGAAGCAAGTCTGTCTCATGTTGCCTTATAAAAGAGAAGCTCATAATGAATGTTTAGCTTTTATCAGTTAAGTCCAATCTTGGAATAAGTCATATGGAATAACAAGTCTGAGACTGATGTAGGAAAAGCAGTAGTCTAAGTTGAGAGCAGGAGGAGGTAGACGAGAGAAGGGAGAAGGAAGAACTGAAAAGCTGTCTCCCCACCCAGGGTGGTTATTGGTCCCAACTTGGGATGGGGTTGAGTAAGAAACTTAGAAACCGTATACTTTGGTGTTATATTGGTCATTGTTATAGAGTTGTAAACTATGGGGGGGGAAGGATCATTTGCTTTCCTTTCATGGTGTTAATGTGTGCCTGAATCTATAGCCACTAAAATGTAAGGCTGTCTACCTGACTTATTTAAATATGATGAGAGAATAGAAAGTGATCATTTGTTAAGTAATCATTGGTAATCAATGTGCTGCCCTTTAAAGCATTCATGGCATCTGGCAAATAGACCCTCGTAGGCTGGCCCAGCATATCCAGATGTTGCTGCATCATCACAGAGAAGGTCTAATGAAGACGTAACCGTTGCTGCTCATGTGCCCTCTCTAAGCAACATGAGGAGCGGGATGTAAGAGAGAAGTTGCTAATGACACCGTGCAAAAGACGGATTAAATAATAAAGTCAATTTCATTGATAGAAAATGCAAATTTTAAGATTCTCTGTGTACGAGGACTCAGCCTCAGGAGCATTTATTTTTTACCTTCCTGCTAAAAATCCACTGGGGAGGTATAAAATTCACTCCAAAGAAGTTTGCCTGGGCCAGAAGCCTCCAGGTTCCTTCTGCAAACAAAATACTAATGATTTTTTTTTTTTTTTTTTTTTGGCTACTTGGGAGAGAGACTTTCAGCATTCTTTCACGATATTCAGATAGGTCCCTCCAGCGCACACACACAACTTTCGCATCTGGTTCGTTTCATCCTCCTGAAAGAACAGTGCTCTCCCACTCTTATTCTATTTCAAAGAGCTACTCTGTCAACCACAGCAGCCCTGCCAAGAAAAGACAAGATGAAAGGCTAGAGCATGTGCTACCTTGAGATTTCAAGAAGTGTCCTACCTCAGCTGAAGACGGAGAAAGAAACAGGGAGGGCAAAGGGGATCAGAAGCCCAGGGTACCATGTAATGACTAATATGCCAGTCACGAAGGGCTTTTATCTCGGCTGTCCACATCCAGTCATGCGTTTGGGGCCAGGCATTCCCGCAAAATGATTGACATTCCTGTAGGTGCCCCACAGAGGTGTGGTGTCAAGAAATTACACCTGGAAAATCCAGCCAGTGTAGTGACCGGCTGAGTTACCATATACCCTGGGTATTCCCCTGTCTGTAAAAGAAGATGACTACAACCTTGTGAACTTGCTGTATCTTTATCTGATGCCCCAAGTGGCATCATCTTTATGTACATGCCTTAGTTGAGAATATGAGACGGCTCTAATCTTTGTGACTCCCTTCACACTTCGGCTGAGGATGTCACATTCTCTGTCTCTCCCCAGCCCACAACCTCTGCCCTTGATCTGTCTACTCCAGCAATTTTCATAGTGTTATCCAGGTACTATACCAAAAGGTCAGCTCTTCTGTAAAATGCCATGCTTCGCAGCTTTAAAAAGCAAAATTCTGTATTTCATGGAGGGAGGGAAGGGTCACTCTCTTCTAGGAAAAATAGACTGGAAAGGCAAATGCATGCATGCATGTGTTTGGAGTTGCTCTCAGAAGACAGAGATGATAGCAACTATAAAAAATGAATGAATGAATGAATGAGTTGAAGGCCTAGCTTGGGCTGATAAAGTTTTTGCCTTAGTAGAGGTTTTATGTCAACACCTTCAGGAGGAAAGCCCTCATCCCTGGGTTGAAATCCCCTTCCTCGGCATTATGCTAGCGAATTGCCATCACCTAGTCGCTGGCAAAGGGAGAAAAAGAAAACAAAAAAATCAGCATTGTCATTGATAAACTGGATGCTGAAGATAAAGTAAAATTGTCTTTTCCCTTGTCCCACATTTTTGGGATTAAAGCCAGAATTGAATAGGAAATACAGTAATATTTCTGAGGTTGATAGCCTATCTTTAAGAAGACCCTGTCTTTAAAATGAAACTAGCAGGCAAACACCTAAATAATCAAAAATTACCAAAGAACAACAATGAAACAAGAAAACCTAAAGGTTTTTACTTCCTATTCCTGTTCCTCTCCTTATTACTGTGACACCCCTTGCGTTGCTCAGTTGCCTGTGTGTCAAGATAACTCGTGGACGTTGGAAATTATTTGAAAATGTATTGTGTGGAATGTAATAAAATGATGATATTTTTATACAAACATCTGGGGTTTTTTTTCCCTTTGCCTGTGAGAACAAAGTTGAAATGTAGGCTTTGAGCAAACCGATGCTTCCAAAGTTTACACATCACCTTCAGGGCATTTCTGTGGGTGGTAGGTGGGTTTTCTCCTTGAGGCTGAATGCCAACTTTTCCTTCTTTTTATTTTTATTACTGCTTGTTAGGATTTTATCCAATTTGTGCAGCTGAGACAACTTTTATGATTGGTGTGGGATTTTGCAAAAGTTGCTAAGTGCTAAATTGCTAAATGAGATTCCACAAAATTTCTCTTGATGACAAATCCCTGGAGATTAGATTCTACTTTCAAAGGGCTCCGAGGGAGTGGTACCAGCTAAGCTGAATCCTGTGCTCAGCTCTGTGGAGACAGATCACTTCCTTTGAAGAAGCAGCAGTGACATCTTACCCCTCACCTACCCAATTACTACATCCACAGGGACGTGAATCTCCCATTTACCAGCGCTTTCCCAGACAAAAGGGAACTTGTAGCATGTTCAGAGCTGAAAGATATTCTAGCCTTTATTTTTGAACAGGTAATGAAGATAATTAGATGATGACTGTGGACATAGAACTATCAGAGTGGAACATTTTATAAAAGGAACACTGTAAAACTTTGAGTCGAGGTGCTTGGGGAAACTCACTCAAAAAGTCATGTCTTTCTTGATAAGTATTTTTCTTTGGCCTCTTTGGATAGTGACCTAGTTATATAAAATATTTCTATCAGAGGGGGACTGGGTTGAGCAAGGTGGGGGAAAATCTAGGAAAGACAACCTCCCAGCAGTTCATGGTTTCTAGGCAGTGGTCAAAAAGAGGTCACAGTAATCCTATTTGCAGATAGGATTTCCCACCACCCCCACTCATGGGATGTATCGGAGGTCTTCTGACAACCTGGGAGCCCTCCTCAGGGGTCCGAGAACCATCCTTAAAGGTCCTGAGAAAATGTGCATGTTCAGAAGATCCTATTTCTGCCAGAGCCCTGCTTTTCTTCCTATCCAAACCTAGATTCAGGAAGGAGTGCTTTTTACAGCTGTAAAACCTGTCCAAGTGCTGCTAACAGGAGACAGGCTTTCAGTTTTTAGATCTTATTGAAAGTTCTGTTAGTACAGATGGTTCAGTATAGATGTCACTATCTGTCCTTTGCAGGAGTGCAGGAGAATAAAGTAGAATGTGATCAGAGCATTTTTTGTTTCCCCAATGACAAGCTCAATTACCCCTTTTGTGTAAATAACATTTGGCTTTCCTTAACGCCATTTGTTCCCATTAGTAAAGAATGAAGTGAAAACAAAAGTGTTTTGTTCAAAAGTGTTTACTTCAAACAACACGACCCAGGCTCAGTCAACATTTCCTTGAGCTGACCTGGGACCCAGCTTGCCAGACTGAGCTATGTTAGTCCTCACCTATGCTTCATTAGCATTACTGTTTTGGAGCCACCTCTGGGAATTTTCCCACCTTGGTTCTAGTCCCAATACTTATTTTAAGGGTACTGACTCCCCCTAAAAGGGCAAGACCGTTAGGACTCCAGTCTTAGATGTCAAACACGACACTGTTACCGCCGAAGACTCCTCAGCGTGGCAGTTCGTAGGTAGCCCAAGTATAAATGTTCAGAAATTGTTTCCATGGATCGTAAATACCAGATGTCAAGGCCTAGGCTGGTCTGTTTCTGCTCCTACCTGGTCCTTTATGATGGTTTAAGTGTGTGTTCTTGCTTCACCCACTGCCCTCCTAGCTTAGATAATCAAAGCCCAGCCAAGCTGATGTAGCTCGGTGTTTGCTTTCCTTGCCCCTCTTCACTGCCTCGGCAGTTGTTTTGCACAATGTGGTCTTCCGGTAATCTCTGATGAAAACAGCTACATCCTGAAGTTCTGATTTGCCTGCATTGTGGGTTATGCATCTGAGCCAAACTGCAGACCTATAGGTGAGGGCTTGTTTTTCCCTCTAATTGTGCAGATCGCTGGGGCCCTCACAGCTGTAATTTGCCTTTCATCCACTTTAGTGACAGCCCAAAGAAAACACAAAACAAACCCAACCAGAGAAAAAGGCGGGGAGAGGGGAACACCAGTGATGATCTTACAATCAGCAGGGAAAGGAATCGCCTTATATAAATAAATTAGTAGCTGGGAATAGTGTAGGATTTAATTAAGCCAAACATAGATCAGGTGCACAGAGTATTTATAGAGGTCAGATATGATCAGAAACCCACACCCTTAGGGTTCCTCAGGCCACAAGCCTGGGCCAGAGTACATTTGCCCTGACTGCTTGGAGGTGTTGTTTGAACCCTAACCTAAACACTGAGAGACAAGATTTGGGAAATCGCCAACGTCAAAACCTTATTTAGCATGGTATGGAAGAGTGGAGAATCTAGGTGCTTCAGCACAACCAAGCAGAAGCCATTCTTGCCCCAAGCCCAGTGGATAAGAAACCTAGAAGCATCTCCTCTATTCTGTGTAAAACAGTTGTTGGCCTTTTCTGTCACTTACCTCCAAGAGCCCCCTAGAACTAAAGTCCTGTGGGCATCGGACCAAGAAATAGAAAAGACCATTTGGAGAGTCAACAACAGAGGTATGGAGGGAGGACTGAGTGTTACATGAGAAAACCTCTTGGAGTTTCATTTCTGCTTGAGAGCTTATTGATACTGATGATACACGGAGGTTGCTGGCGGGAGACTCTTAGGATAGTAACTGGCTGGGTTTCTTTAACTCACAAGTTAAACATGCTCAAAAAGTGCAGTAATAAAGAAAAAGCAAAAGTTCATTTCATTGTTGACCAATATCAGCCTCTTCCCCAGAGGTAAGCACAAGGGATAGTTTGAGGAATGTGTTTCCAGGCCTTGTTTTATACCTTTACAAACATGTATGTTCATGTTGAGTTATGTGGTTTGGTTAAGCTGGGGTTTAGTTTGGTTCGTTTGGTTTTGTGTAAATGGTAGCATAGCGTTTGCTTACTGTATTGGTTGACTTGCTTCTTTTCATTCGACATCTTGAGGGTAATTCCGTACATACCAATGCTTCAACCCCATCCTTTTTATCTGCAGCATAGCATTCCATATTGTGTTGATATGCCAGGGTGTATTAACTGCTCCATTGCTGATGAGTATTCAGATTGTTTCTAGGTTTTTTTTACTATTATAAACAATACTGCGATGAATATCCTTGAAATTGCTTCTTTGGGCACACATTTTTCAAAGGATACAATTTCTGGGTCAAACACATACCTGTTTTCAATTTAGTAGGTGCTGTGAATGGCTACGGTTTGTCGTTTAAAATGAACGTGTTCTTGCTTGACAGCATAGTGGAAACTAATGGACATCCTGGCTGTAGAACCCCTGCCACATTAGCTCAACCCATGGGGTCTCTATGCCTATCTCTCTTTCTCTGCAGTGGGTGTGCTGCTCACAAAAGACCTTGGGCACTTTTAGCTGAAGGGAATTTTAAACTCAGGAAGCGTTTCTTCAGAACTTTTTAACTGCCAACTTATGAGGAATATGGGCCTGGCTCTAAGTGGCAGCTCCCCAGAGCTGTGGCGGCTGTGTCACTGGAGTTAATTCTATCCCTGGGTTCAGCAGGCAGAGTCCTGTTCTCCATGATTAATGAGTTCCACTTGGTTTCTTCAAAGAGTGACTGTGCTGTGCCTTGCTGTTATTTATTTATGTTTTCTACTAAAAAATTTATGTAAAAAAACATCCTTTAAGGTCAGTATGCAGCACTGTGCTGCAGACTAAACTATTCCAGCAGCCAAAGGTAAACCTACACACCAAGAAAAAGTCTCAAATTTGGGAGGCCTTGGACCCCAGGCCCCCACTCTGCCCCTGAGAGAAGCAGAACCTGTGGACTTCCTTCTGAGGAAGTTCACGGCTGCAGTACCCAAAGAAAAGGCACTAGGAGTGAGGTGGTTTTCCAGTGGGATGTTTATAGGCATGGGCAAAGCTACTAGCCCCACAGGGGCCAGGACTAAGGAATGGCAGGTGGAGGAGAAGCCCAGAGATCTGTCAGTCTAAACACCATTTCTAGCAAAAGCACTGCCCCCATTTCTACGATGTGCTGAGAAAAAGGGATCATAATAAAGTGACTTTGACTTTGAGTGTCTATGGCTATATATGTCCTGTGTGGGCTTTCTCTGGCCTGTCTATTGCCTCCTGGGCATGGGGCAAGAGTATTTAACTCAGGCAAGAAAGCAGCATGAATTGACGTCTGGATAAACTAGAGTACATCTCTCTCTCGCTCTCTCTCTGTCTCTCTCTCTCTCTCTGACACACACACACACACACACACACACACACACACACACACAGTGCCTTGTTTTGTCTTCTCTGTGTAATTGTGCAAAATTAAATCCTTTAACTGTCATGAACATTCCCCAAACAAAGGCTCTGCTCCAGAATCGGAATGATAATAGACCATGCCATGGCTTTCAGCAATACCAGTTTCTTTATCCGGCAGCAGGACTCATTAACAGGATGCCTGAACTGGACTTCCCTGCAACTCATTAAAGAGCAGCCAGCTCCAGTAATTATGGGCATGCAGAGAGCCTCGAGCCAGAGGTGGCCTTGACCAAAGTCCCAGTCTCCAAAGCCTGCTAGTTATTGGAGCTTCATCTAAGCATAAAGAACCTTTTTGTCTCTTTGTGTTTTCTCACTGCCACCCAGGACCTGTGAGAAGGGGCATGAGGATTTCAGGGGCTGGTGTGAGCCTTCCAATGGCATCTCTAGGGCAGCCCCCCAGCTGGCATTGAGAGTGAGATGGTAGTCATTAGGACCTAGATGGGGCCAACATGGGCATGTCAAAAGAGCCCCAGAGATGCCTCATCCACCTTGGCCAACTGTGGCTCAAGAGTGAGTCCCATAGCAATATTTACAGGGGCCCTGGACCCACAAGCCCATCACTGCTTTCTGGCTCTGCACCTCCTGCTAGGGCCACGGTCTCCACTTCCTCCTCTGTAGGAGGAGTTGGTCACCATCCATCTGCCTTTGTGCCAGGTGTAGTTTGTCTCCAACCTCCAAACCCCTTTCCGCACCTTCCCCCTCTCTTGGTGACCCCTTTTCTTCTTTGGCATCCTTTCACTTTCCCTCCCTCTTCCTCCACCAATGCCTCCTTCAGAAAAGCATGGGTCAGATTCCTTCACACAAATGCTGCACAGGCTACTTCCTCCAAGAATTGCAATTTTACAGGGAACCACACCTGAAGCCAGAGGAATTAGTCTCTTAGTAATTACAGTCCTTGGCCACCAGCAAGCCATTGGGAAAAATCATCTCTTGAGTGGGCAGAGAGAGGTACCTTTTTGGTACCTGTAAAATGGTGTCACAGAGTCATTCATTCTCATTCATTCTTGTGTTCAGAAGAGCCCAGCTTTTAGTGTCGTGAATTCTTTTAGGGACATACAGGGGTACAGTTTTTTTTCAAGGACCTACAAAATAAGAGTGGCTATCTTTAAGAAGACATTATACCTCACATGGGAAGTGGATACAGTTTTGATTCTTCAACTCCATTTTCTCACTTGTCCAAGGTTGTACCAAACTACTCCATCTGAGTGACATAGTGATGTTTGTAACATGCACACCTCAAATACTGGAACTAGAGGAGAGGAAAAATTTCAAAGCCCACTGGAAAAACTCCCTGAAATATGAAGATATGTGACTTTTCCCCCTAGCATCTCAGGAAAAAGTAAGACTACAGAAGAAGGGAGAAAACAACAGGCTTTCCCTGAAATGTTTTTCCCGGAAGGTAGCCAACAAAAGAAGTGAAAAGAGGCAATTTCTTGTTCACATCGCTACTTACAACAATGGAGAATAGCTGATTTTTCAAGACTTGGGGTGAAAAAGAGGTTCTAGTATTTCCCTTCATCAGCTTTGCTGTGTTTTTCCAGTTCACACAATTGTGAAGCCTGTCTTTATAGCTAAACATGTCTCTAGCTAGATTTTTCTTCTTTTCATGCCATTGTTGGGGCTCAGAGGAGACATTCTGGCCTCAGCTGCTCATCCGCCTCCACACTTGAAAGTATTACTAGGTCATTTCATAGTCTTCTTGTTTGCAGTCAGTCTTTCCAATTCTTTTTAGTGTTTCCTTCTAGTTATTCAACTAAAAATAACAGAAACGAATGGCTATATTCAAGATCAAACTCTTCTGGTAATCTCATACCAAGCCGCCTCCCATTTTTTTTCCTACTTGAAACCATTCAAAAAATTCCAAAAAATATTTTTCCATGACCTTGCCTAGATTTGGCTGTAGCCCAAGAGATAAAAACCCATGATAAAGGCTCTTCTGATGGTGCTTCTAAACTCAAGCCAAACCCAGCAAGGAATGAATGACTCTCAAGTAGCCTGACTTTTTAACGGAGGAGATTTGGCAAAGTTTAGATCAACATCTGAACGTTTGGCTCCTTATTGTAACTTGGATGAACAAACTGAATTGGGAAATTAAGTGTGGTGGGGAAGGGGGACCTTCAGCCAATACTAAATATTAAACTGAATTAAATTGAATTTTGAAGTGCCAAGAGGAATCTCCTTAGCCCTTTGTTATTTATCTTTTACTGAGGTGTCAGTGTTGTACTTCCTGCTGAGATTAAAAGAGAATGGCTGAGAGAAGTGTCTGAAGGCTACTCCCATCTGAAAAATCCAGTGATTTAACTGGCCCATGGGGTTTAGAAACTTGGAATGAAATTCAACAAAGGCACTAAGTGGCCAAGAGCTTATCCCAGATAAATCACAGCCCCCAAACAAGGTGTTGAAAATCTGTGGCTTAGTTCTCAGTTATACTGCTGATTTATTCAATGACTTACTGCTCTTCTCTACCCTCCCTCCTCAATTTCATCTCTAAAGTCAAAGTGATGACACCCAGTACCTGTGAAAATGAATGATTTCAGTGGTTTCCTGTGTAAGAGGCTCTTCGATCTTTGCCTTCAAGGCTGGTTGAAGTGTGGTGGGTTAAGTGGATGTGCTAAGACTGGCTTTCCAAGAGGTTTTATCAGCCCAGCCTCAGTTAGCTTATTGCCCTTAAATGGAGGCTTAAAACTATGGGCACAAGTTGCCCACTCTGTCAGTTTCTCAGTCACCCATTAGCAGGACTGAGTCCTGAGCCAAACGGGCAAGTATTGAACACATGGAACCTCATGGGTTCCCTTGGCCTGTCCTTTCCATGGTCTTCTCTTTCCATACACACCTTAAAACAGATGGCTTCAGGGAGTGACCACTCCCAGGAGAGGACAGAGCTAGAGTGAAGAATGGGGCAGTGAGCATCGTGGGGCGTTGGAGCCCTTTTGTTCAGAAGTTGCCTTGTCTCCCTCAACCATTACCCTCTTCAGAAAGCCTGCATCAGAAAGGCCCTCATAGCTTTCTTAGTTCCTTCCTGTAGAGATAAGGGAATGCTAGAGCAGGGGAGAACATCCGTGTTTAGTTTACAGAGAAGCAAACGGAGACCCAGGGAGGTCAATGACTGGTCAAGGCTCTGACACCTGAGGCAGAACCAGACGGGAGGTGGGCACCCCACCTGCAGCCTAGGGCCTCCACATCCCACACCACTCCCTTCAGTGCAGGGTGATGCTGCAGCTGGCCGGGCTTCCGGGTATCTCAAGAGCAGTGGCTTCTTAATCCACTGCTCAGGGTTGGCATGGAAGGGACTCTTCAAAGAAACGAGCACATCAGTGACCTGAAATGATCTGTGTACGAGTGTCCCAAGGGCTGTCTTAAATTATTTATCCAAAAGTAACCAGTGGTTTGGGGCAGAATTCTCGTTCTCCTGGCCATATTGTGACAGTGTCAAGTCCAATACACTCACAGTAAACACAGAGTGAAGGCTGCGGATTTTCTGTAAGAAACTGCAGAAAAGCAAACAAATGAAGGAATGCTAATCCCAAATAATCTTAATTTAGAAGAAGGACGAAAATGAGGGAGACAGGAAAGATAAAAAATTGTGTGTGTGTGTCAAGGTGGGGGGGAGAGAGAGAACGAGAATGGGAGGGGCCATAAGAGAGGGCTTTCTTATCTGAGGACTAAATCATTCTCAGTAGGAATTTCCAGGCAGCTGGTTGGAGTGTCTTGGGGGTGTTTCCCTTGAGTAGCATGTGTGGTCTTACACTGTCAGGCAGTGTTCCAGGGAGAAGCTTACTTCATTAGAAGAGGTCGGGTTTGTGACTAGGTATGGCTGTTCACCTTTTGTGCCATAGTGTTGCAATTTACTAACAAGCACACCAGAGAATAATTGACTCTTCTAGGGTGTGGGATGTTTCTGGAACAGTCCTGTGGGTGTTTTCATAACTAGCCACTCTGGTATCTCACTCCAAAAAAATCAGGACACAATAGGAGAGGAGTGAGACCTTGAATCATGCTTCACCTTGTACCTACTCTGTCTCTCAATGATGCAGAGAGAAGGGACACTGACCAAAACAAGGTGACTTTTTGGCCTGAGACTGATCTCCATATGAAAACGACCAGGGTTTTGTGAAGCTGGGTTGTACTTGTTTTTAAGCAGTAACTACTGTGCTCACTTGATTACTCAAGCTCTGTAAAGCCCCTTCCCGTCATTCATTCGGAGTTGACCTCTCCCTCTCACTGTGCTGGTCTGCCACAGCTGGGGAAGGGGACAGGTGTGGGGGAGTATGAGGGCAGAGGTCTGACTCTCACACAGATATGCACAAGGTGGAAGACTTGTGGCAAGGCAAGGCGACCTCTTTGAATTCTTTGACGAGTCTGATACGAATGAATGCAAACCAAAAACCAAGAGATCAGGTGCCATGTTTGAAAGTTTTTTTTAATCAATCACACAGATAAAGGAGATAGAAATCCTCCACTGCCCACCTTGCAGCAGCCTCAACGCCAAAGTATCTTCCTCCCCACTCCCACATTTTCGTTCCTGGTTGTGGCTCAGGCTCATTTGCCCAATCCCTGCCCTGGACCCTAGCAGCGCTTGGGAGTCCTCTCTGCAATGCCTTGCTTTCTTTCATGCTAATTTGGTATGGGTGAGTCTTCACTTTCCAACCACACTGAAGGGCCTTGATGGTAGACACCTGGTCCCTTACATCTTTATTTTTCAAAGTCCTCAGTATGTTTCCCGGACATGCAGTAAGCCCTCTTACTAAGTGGTGTTGTGTTGGTTTATTGGCTAATGAAGACTGCCCTTGAAGAACAATGTAATTTAGTTTCCTCCTCTGAGTGATGCCTATCATGGAAAGCATGAAACCCCAAATTTCAGACCCCCACATCTTCGTGTTCATAAGAAGCCCCTCAAACCCCTACCACATCAAAGTAGTGAGCCAGTGAAACAGGCAACCAAAGTGTGTATCCAGCCAACCCGGTTCTGAGATAAGGCAGACTCTTATTTTCTATTAGAAGGGGGCAGTAAGGATATGGTGGTAGTTACAGTACCCCAGA